AATATGAAATTTTATGGTCCGAATGCGTTAATTGAACACTTATGGTCCGAATATACTAATTCTGTGAACTAATATAATGTAATTTATTTTCTGCTATTTTAAATTTATTGTTGTATTTTTTTTTAATTTGTCGTTATCGATTGTAATATAATATTTATCTTATAATAAATGAGTTTTAAAATTAATTATCATTTATCAAACTATTGAAAGAAAAAGAAAAAGTTTAAATTTAATAATATAATAATAGATAATTTTTTTATAGTGTAAAATTTGGTGTTGTGGTTGGAGATGAAAAAAACTTTTTTGACACCAAAACACCAAATTTGGTGTAATTTCAACACCAAATATGGTGTCAAGGTTGGAGTTGCTCTTAGCACAATGTATCCAAAACTCAAGTAATCTCAAGTAGCCCACACGCAATCTAAATCTACTTATTTGTTAGAGTTTATTATTTATATATACCAGAATTGCTCAAACCCTTTCTTTCATATGGCTCAAGAGTCAGGAAATCATCCAAATGTTATATTCAATCTTTATGACATATTTGTTGCATAAAGTGGATTTTATGTTGTTGAAATCTGTATAAAAATGCAAATAAAAAAACAATAACGTCATCGTCAGAAATAAAGTCAAAGTTCTAACTTATCAAATGGTGTGTTAGACCAGCAAACAAATTATCAATATCCAATGCTTCTTCTCATAATGCATAAATATATAAACAATACTAAAAAATGTATAATTTATTCAAATTAGGAAAGCTAATACAAATTAAATTTGGTCTTCCCGGTCAACGGCGAAGTTTCTTCGCTCTCCATCTTGCTGAATAATTATTTTTGCGGCAATACATATCAAAAAATTTTCCTTAATGATATTGAGTTGTTTTAGTCTCGGATTTAAGTCGTAGGTATGTGATTGACTAGTGGGATTAAATTGTGAGTATGTGGCTTTCATGTATCGGGATTGAATATTATCGTTTGTATTTCAGTTTGAGGTTATCAATAATTCACCAGATAGAAAAAAAATACAAATTATATTTAATACAACCTTTTGAGATCCTACCGAACACTTAAAGCGGATTTATCGACTATAGAGAATTAAATTAACATTCCTATAGTATAGCCATATAAAATTTTCTTAATATCTAACCCTTTGTTTTGTTAGTCTTTCA